CCCCCTCCCCGTCTTCAGAATCACAGTCAACTCGCCGTCTCAGGTCTTGTTCGGTTGTCATTGCTTTTGTGCGCAGTGCCCTGAGCAGATGCGGCAGATCTAATCCTGCGCGCCTTGTGAAGCCACTCTTCGAATGAACAATGCCACCCACCCCTCTTGCCCTCACTCCTGCCTCTACGCGGCTCCTGAAGCCAAGCTGGAATGACTCCCTCTGGGTCATCGTCGATCTCCCCCTGGGACGCAGGCACGGGCAGCATCGGTTGGCTTCGGAAACTGTGAGGACGAAGGCATCAACCCCGCACGGGTAAAAACGGTTGTACTTCCAACAAGCACAGCCTAGGCGACAGACGCCGCTTCCGTCGGACGTCTTCTTGCCCTTCTGCTGCTCCTCCTGCTCCTCCTTTTGAATCCTCCTCTTCTTGCCCATCCTGCTCCTCCTTCTGTTCCACCTCCACCTCCGCCGACTCCTCCTTTTCCTTCAAAATCGAACCTCACACCTGTCCCTGAGCGCTCTAACTACGACCTCGAATCGAATCCAGCCGTGGCGACACGGACCCCCCACGAGCCCCAAACGGAACCAACGCATGCTAAGCCCCATCCTCAACGGTCCCTCCCTCCTCACTCTCCCCGTCCCCCTCCCTCCTCCTCCTCCTCCTCCTCCTCCTCCTCCTCCTCCTCCTCCTCCTCCTCCTCCTCCTCCTCCTCCTCCTCCTCCTCCTTTCCTACTCCTACTCCTACTCCTATCCTTATTCCTTATTAGAATATACTCCTACTCCCCCCTCAGGCCGGCCATTAGGGGCCGCATCCGGGTGGTCCCATCCTAACCTGTAAAAAACAATACAAAATCAACATTTTCTTATTTTTTCCTCTCGACATGGACGTCCTGTCGTCCACGGCGATAATCCATTGCAAAAAAACCACAAAGAGCACACGCGCGCGTTCATGTCAGAATCCTACCGAACACCGTGTGTTTGCAAGCATTTCAACATAAAAACATCAAAAACCAAATGCTTTTTCACAAAAAATTGTACAAATTTCCCGCCCGGGCTCTCTTGCTGAAATCATAGGAAAACCATAGGAATCTTAAGAATTCGGTCAAATCCAGCGATTTCACGTCATCGCGCGGTGCACTCGCGATGCTCTGTCATGCACCCAGGCCGCGAATCCTGTGCAAAAAATACTACAAAGAGCACACTCGCGCGTTCATGTCAGAATCCTACCGAATACCGTGTGTTTGCAAGCATTTCAACATAAAAACATCAAAAACCCAATGCTTTTTCACAAAAATGCTTTGGGGTGTCCTGTCAGACCGTCGGGCTTCCTCCGGCCACCTCTGGCTTCCTGCGGTGTACCGGGCCATTCTCGACTCGTCTGGCAATGCGTGCGCGGCATTCAACACGCGCTCGCCAGTTCCCGTCGGCAACCGCCATCGCGGCCGCATCAGCTGTACCAAACCGGCTGGCCGGTGTGACTTCGGCCCCCAGTTGTGCCAGCTTTGCTTCTTATGTTGTGGGAGGGCGGGTGGGACTGGGCATGCCATGCTTGACTCGCTCGAGCTGGCTAGCTTGACTCCTATCCATATTCCTTATTAGAATATACTCCTACTCCCCCCTCAGGCCGGCAGATAGGGGCCACATCCGGGTGGTCCCATCCTAACCTATAAAAAACAATACAAAAGCAACATTTTTCTTATTTTTTCATCTCGACATGGACGTCCTGTCGTCCACGGCGATAATCCATTGCAAAAAAAACAACAAAGAGCACACGCGCGCGTTCATGTCAGAATCCTACCGAACACCGTGTGATTGCAAGCATTTCAACATAAAAACATCAAAAACCCAATGCTCTTTTTCACAAAAATTCTAAAAAATTCCTGCCCGGGCTCTCTTGCTGAAATCATAGGAAAACCATAGGAATCTTAAGAATTCGGTCAAATCCAGCGATTTCACGTCATCGCGCGGTGCACTCGCGATGCTCTGTCATGCACCCAGGCCGCGAATCCTGTGCAAAAAATAACACGCGGGCGACATGCGCGCGCGTCGCCGCGAGCGCATGCTCAAATCCTTCTAGTGTCGTCCCCGTCATTGGCACTACTACTACTATCACCACCACCACCACCACTACTACTACTACTACTACTACTACTACTACTACTACTACTACTACTACTACTACTACTACTACTACTAGACTACTACTACTACTACTACTACTACTCTTACTACTACTACTACTACTACTACTACTACTACTACTACTACTACTACGACTACTACTACTACTACTACTACTACTACTACTACTACTACTACTACTACTACTACTACTACTACTACTACTACTAGTACTGCTGCAAGTACTTGTCATAGCACTACTTTTTCTGTTACTACTACTACTACTACACTACCACTACCAACACCACTAACACTGGTACTGCTACTCCTGCCTCTTGGGGCCTCCTGGGCCCCCTTGGGGTGTCCTGTCAGACCGTCGGGCTTCCTCCGGCCACCTCTGGCTTCCTGCGGTGTACCGGGCCATTCTCGACTCGTCTGGCAATGCGTGCGCGGCATTCAACACGCGCTCGCCAGTTCCCGTCGGCAACCGCCATCGCGGCCGCATCAGCTGTACCAAACCGGCTGGCCGGTGTGACTTCGGCCCCCAGTTGTGCCAGCTTTGCTTCTTATGTTGTGGGAGGGCGGGTGGGACTGGGCATGCCATGCTTGACTCGCTCGAGCTGGCTAGCTTGACTCCTACTCCTACTCCTACTCCTATCCTTATTCCTTATTAGAATATACTCCTACTCCCCCCTCAGGCCGGCCATAGGGGCCGCATCCGGGTGGTCCCATCCTAACCTGTAAAAAACAATACAAAATCAATATTTTTCTTATTTTTTCCTCTCGACATGGACGTCCTGTCGTCCACGGCGATAATCCATTGCAAAAAAAAACACAAAGAGCACACGCGCGCGTTCATGTCAGAATCCTACCGAACACCGTGTGTTTGCAAGCATTTCAACATAAAAACATCAAAAACCCAATGCTTTTTCACAAAAATTGTACAAATTTCCCGCCCGGGCTCTCTTGCTGAAATCATAGGAAAACCATAGGAATCTTAAGAATTCGGTCAAATCCAGCGATTTCACGTCATCGCGCGGTGCACTCGCGATGCTCTGTCATGCACCCAGGCCGCGAATCCTGTGCAAAAAACTACTACAAAGAGCACACTCGCGCGTTCATGTCAGAATCCTACCGAACACCGTGTGTTTGCAAGCATTTCAACATAAAAACATCAAAAACCCAATGCTTTTTCACAAAAATTGTACAAATTTCCCGCCCGGGCTCTCTTGCTGAAATCATAGGAAAACCATAGGAATCTTAAGAATTCTGTCAAATCCAGCGATTTCACGTCATCGCGCGGTGCACTCGCGATGCTCTGTCATGCACCCAGGCCGCGAATCCTGTGCAAAAAATACCACAAAGAGCACACTCGCGCGTTCATGTCAGAATCCTACCGAACACCGTGTGTTTGCAAGCATTTCAACATAAAAACATCAAAAACCCAATGCTTTTTCACAAAAATGCTTTGGGGTGTCCTGTCAGACCGTCGGGCTTCCTCCGGCCACCTCTGGCTTCCTGCGGTGTACCGGGCCATTCTCGACTCGTCTGGCAATGCGTGCGCGGCATTCAACACGCGCTCGCCAGTTCCCGTCGGCAACCGCCATCGCGGCCGCATCAGCTGTACCAAACCGGCTGGCCGGTGTGACTTCGGCCCCCAGTTGTGCCAGCTTTGCTTCTTATGTTGTGGGAGGGCGGGTGGGACTGGGCATGCCATGCTTGACTCGCTCGAGCTGGCTAGCTTGACTCCTACTCCTACTCCTATCCTTATTCCTTATTAGAATATACTCCTACTCCCCCCTCAGGCCGGCAGATAGGGGCCGCATCCGGGTGGTCCCATCCTAACCTGTAAAAAACAATACAAAATCAACATTTTTCTTATTTTTTCCTCTCGACATGGACGTCCTGTCGTCCACGGCGATAATCCATTGCAAAAAATACCACAAAGAGCACACGCGCGCGTTCATGTCAGAATCCTACCGAACACCGTGTGTTTGCAAGCATTTCAACATAAAAACATCAAAAACCCAATGCTTTTTCACAAAAATTGTACAAATTTCCCGCCCGGGCTCTCTTGCTGAAATCATAGGAAAACCATAGGAATCTTAAGAATTCGGTCAAATCCAGCGATTTCACGTCATCGCGCGGTGCACTCGCGATGCTCTGTCATGCACCCAGGCCGCGAATCCTGTGCAAAAAATACCACAAAGAGCACACTCGCGCGTTCATGTCAGAATCCTACCGAACACCGTGTTTTTGCAAGCATTTCAACATAAAAACATCAAAAACCCAATGCTTTTGCACAAAAATGCTTTGGGGTGTCCTGTCAGACCGTCGGGCTTCCTCCGGCCACCTCTGGCTTCCTGCGGTGTACCGGGCCATTCTCGACTCGTCTGGCAATGCGTGCGCGGCATTCAACACGCGCTCGCCAGTTCCCGTCGGCAACCGCCATCGCGGCCGCATCAGCTGTACCAAACCGGCTGGCCGGTGTGACTTCGGCCCCCAGTTGTGCCAGCTTTGCTTCTTATGTTGTGGGAGGGCGGGTGGGACTGGGCATGCCATGCTTGACTCGCTCGAGCTGGCTAGCTTGACTCCTACTCCTACTCCTACTCCTCCTCCTACTCCTCCTGCTACACCCTCCTCCTCCTTCTCCTCCTCCTGATGCTCCTCCTGATCCTCCTCCTCCTCCTTCTCCTCCTCGGTCGCACGGTAGCAAAGAAGGTCTCGAGGCCACTCGTGGAGCAGCAGGAGACAAAAAAAAAATATGGATGCCGATCGGGTCGGGCCGCCTGGGCGAGCCGCCTCCCTGGGCGGGCACTGCCAGGCCCCATACCGACCGTCGTCGTCCTCCCCCCATGTCCCTCCTCTCCCCCCCGTACCCGCCCCGTCCCTCCACACCCGTGCCTCGAGGCCTTCGCCGAGATGGCCCTGCCCTACGGCTTATGGCCGCCTCGGGAGGGGGCGGAGACAGGAAAGGCTGGGGAAGGGAGGCGGGAGAGGGAGCCTGGGTCCGGACAGCAGTGTTGCCTGTCCTGTCCCGGCCGCGTGGCCTACATCCGGGGAGGGCAACTGCCCTGGACCGGATACTCGGCCACGTCTGTCAAAACAAGGATACCGCCACACAGTGTATCCTACGCACCTGTCGTGCCGAGCAGCGAACTTGGCCTGTAGGGGGTGACCTTGAGAATCCTGGCATGGGATCCTGGGACACGTCCTTTCCTAAGCTTCCTGAGCTCACTGGTCACTTTGTTCTGGCAGCCCCTGGGGTCGAGCAGTTTTCGGCTTCCTCTCTCTGAACAGAAGCCCCCGCACCGGTTGCAGAAAATAAGGGGGAACCCGTTATCCAGCCACCCGATGTGGAGAGAGTGGTGCAGGCGTTGGTGGGAATCCAGAACCATGCGCATCCCTGCTGGTAGAGCTTTGCACGAAAATCTCGACATCGGAAAAACTATCCGCAGACATGTGTCGCATCGATACCGTTTACCATCCCACATTGGGTGGTGCTCTTCAACAAAAGGGCGTTCCTGAGGTGTCCTGGGTTGCGAGGGGAGCTTTTCCAGTGGCCCCCAGAGATCCTCCGACTTGGGCCAGGTTTCCAGAAGTTTCCCTGCCCCAATGAGTAGCCTTACCAGCATGTCGTAGGCGGCCGCGTGGCTGTCCAGCTCCGCCGGAGGGGGTCGATGCATAGAAGCCCATTCCTTGGCGTAAAAGTCTGCCGCCTTGTTGCCCAGAAGATACCGACGGTCCTGCTCGTCCACCGCCTCCTCCTCCTTCCTATGGACCTTGGTCTTGACCGCGCCGAGAGGCTCAAGCGTGCCCAGAGGCGTCCCTGGCCCTCGATGCCCCAAGGCTGGCCGACTCTTTGACGGGATTGGAGAGTACCTTTCGCATGCTTACTATTATGATTATTCCTCCTCCTCCTCCTCCTCCTCCTCCTCCTCCTCCTCCTACGCCCTCGAGCCTCGAGCCTCGAGCCTCGAAGGAGGAGGAAGAGGAGGAGGAGGTGGAGCTGCACCACTCCGCCGCCTTCGTCCGTCCGCAGCGGCGGCGGCGGAGGAGCGGTGATCCTCAGAGCGTATGTTGGCGCCAAGGCTTCGAGACAACGCAGCAGATGCAGAGGGGGGCCGAACGTGGCAGCCACACGCTCGGCCAACACATGTCCCGAGGATCATCCAACAAATCATGGAGGGGGATCGGGTCGAGGGGGGCTTCAGGCTAGCTGCGCGCAAGGATGACCCCACGGCAAGAGTGACTTTGGTACGCGGCCCACGGGGGGGCTTTTGGGGGACACCGCCAGGCGCGCAGGCCGCTGCCATCGCATCGCAGTCAGCGATCGCAGTCGACACCAGAGGTCACCCCAGCCAAAAGTTACTCTTACGCCTTACGTGCATCCGGCTGGGAAGCAGGAGGGCGCGAGGACGAGGACCAGGACGAGACGCTGGAGGTGCGGGCGCGGGCACGGGAGGGATTACCCTGGGGATTACCCTGAGAAGTACGAATGTACCGAAGGCTGCGCTAGCACTGGGCGGCTCCTGTGGCCTGTGCTGCTGCTGCTGCTGCAACTCCCCTACCCATGCTGGCACTGCTGACACTGCTGGCAACGGGGATGGACGCAGCAAACCCAATCTCTCTCGCTTGAAACCACCGGGCTCACGCCAACCCAGCGGCTTTGCACCCAGCCAGTTCCCTGCAAGTGAGGCTAGGCTGAGTGCAGTCTCAATCGGAATCTCCAGATTCGGCCTCCAGCATTGTTGGCTGGAGCTGTCGCGGCCACTCGACCGCTTCGGGAACCGGGGCCGTCGAACTAGATCCAGAGGAAAGCCTGTCTCCTGCAATCTGCAACTTGCTCCAGAGCTGGTGAAGGCCCTGGTGAGCAAATTCGCAGAGCAAGCGTCTACCAGACCCGCTCCTTGGGAGCTGCGTCGTCCCTCGGGGCCTGTCTCGGGGCATCCCCACCCCACAACAAAGTCGGCCCCAAGGGAGAGGCCAAGAATGCTTCAACCGAGAAACCTGATGTACCAAAGGCTGCGCTAGCTTTAGGTCGGGCGGGTCCTCCTACAGGGGGATCTTCGACGAAAAATAAAGAATACTCAAGACATACCCCCCAAATGGACAAAAGTAGTCAAACAATCGTCCCCCGACTATTTTTTCACTTTCTTTTTTGGGGGGAATATTCCTCCTGTAGAGGGACAGGCCCGACTCCACGCTGGCGCCGGGAGACTCCTGTGGCCCGTGCTGCAGCGGCTCCCGCGGGGCTGCACCGCCCCCCGGGCGGCGGGCGCCCTCCTGCCGCAGCGCGGCCCAGATCCTGGCCTCCCTCTCCAGCGCCTCCTCCTCCCCCTTCTCCTCCTCCTCCTCCTCCTCCTCCTCCTCCTCCTCCTCCTCCTCCTCCTCCTCCCTTCCCTTTTCCTCCTCCTCCTCCCTTCCCTTTTCCTCCTCCTCCTCCTCCTCCCCTCCTCCTCCTCCTCCTCCTCCTCCTCCTCCTCCTCCTCTTGCTCCTCCCGCTCCTGGGACTGAGCAGGCGGAACAGCTGCTGCAGGAAGGCGGCCCTGACACGCCGCCTCCCCCCCCCCCCCCACGGGCTCCCCAGGGGAGTCCCCAGGCGGCGCGTTGCCTCTCCCACGGGGTGCGCCGGGGGGGGACCCAGGACCGACGGTCCTCGACCCTCCCCGATCGGCGCTCCTGTTCTCGAACCAGACGGCCACCCCCGCCCTCCCCGTCCTGCTGCTGCTCCCGCTGCTCATCCCCCACGTCCCCCTCATCATCACGCTCGCCATCCTCACCCTGCGGAGCCCGGAGGCTTCCACGGAGGCTTCCGAGAGGCCTCCGGGCCCTCCACTCGCCATCGCTCGGACGTGCATTCCCCGTGCCTTGCTCGGTGTCGCGCGGGCGTGTATGTTCCACCAGATGATCCAGGATGTTCCTCGATGACCCTCGCCCCAACACAGTGCACAGACCCGAGCGATGCCACGTCTGAGCAAATCTACCCCTGCCTCCCCAGATGCGGGCACGAATTGTGTCCACATCCACTGCGTCTTGGGCTTTCTGGGAAGGGGCGCCACCAGGCCGCGGCGCCCTACTCCTCCTCCTCCTCCTCCTCCTCCTCCTCCTCCTCCTCCTCCTCCTCCTCCTCCTCCTCCTCCTCCTCCTCCTCTAGGGCCAGGGGAGACCTTGTTCTGCCCATATATCCGCGGCGCCTTTGGCATCGGAGGAGGGGCGCCCCGAACTCCAAGACGCAGTGGATGGGGACAGCAATCCTGCCCGCATCAGGGGGCCGCCTGCCTCGCGCCGCACCCGCTCGGACTACCTACCATAGAGGAAAGAGAACTATGCACATACACCGATTCTGGCCAGGCCCATCCTGAGCCCAGGATCGGTGCATACGCCTTCTACCTTGGCCAGGAAGGCGTATGCACCGATCCTGGGTCAAGGATGGGCCTTGCCAGGATCGGTGCATGTGCATAGTTCTCTTCGCCCGACTACCAGACCACCCCAACCCAACCCGAAGACCCGAATTTCGGGTTGGGGGGGGGGGTCAGGGTTCCCCATGTGCTTTTTCGATGTTTCCCGACCCCGCCCCCTCCTGGAAATCGAGGGTAAATCTGAGCCTTCGGGTTGGGTTGGGGTGGTTTGGTGGGTGGTGACGCTCGGCACGCCGCCAGGGCCACGACGAGCCTCGCGAAGGGCGAGAGCCGCGGGGACCCTGCTCCCGTGCGGGCCGCTGCAGAAGAGGCGTCCGGAGCGCAGATCGAGACGCCGCGAGCCGGCGGGCGCATGGGGCCCGATGAACTCCACTTCTGCGCGCACCCTGCACGCACGCAGCCGACGCAGCTGAGCTGTGCCCGCGTCGGGCGCTCTGCAGAAGGGTCCACCCCATCTTGCGGAGGAGCGGGTGGGGGGATTGAACAGCAGAGGAGCCGTCAGGAGGAGAAACGAAGATGTAAGGAGGGAAACAAGAACGGGGAGGAGGAGGACGACGAAAAGGGAGGACGAAGAGGGAGGACGAAGAGGGAGGACGAAGAGAAAGGAGGAGGAGGAGGAGGAGGAGGAGGAGGGAGAAGGAGGATGATGTACGGTTGGCGTTGGAAGGATATCGTGCAACATCGACCTCCGAAAAAGCACGCTATCCCTGTGAGGCGATCCCCACGCGAGGGCCCCCACTCTGCACGCTGTCCCCCTGCCAGACTCCTTCGAATCGTGTGAGGAGCGTGCCGACATCGCACGCTCCGGAAGAGGAGGGGAAAGCGGGGGAGGAGGAGCGCTCTCACCCCGCCCTCCCCCCCCTCCCCTGCCCCTCACCCGTTCGCCTTCGACGCCTCCTCGTCCCTCTGGGCTGCAATTCTCGCCGGGCCTTCCCCTCGAAGGGGCGGGCGATTACCCTCCTCCTCTTCCTCCTCCTCCTCCTCCTCCTCCTCCTCCTCCTCCTCCTCCTAGTCCTTCTCCTCCTCCTCCTCATCATCACCACCATCAGCAGCAGCAGGCAGAAGCAGCAACATCATCATGCCTGATCGTCCTCCTCATGCAGTATCCTGCCTCATCTTCCTGCCTGTTCCTTTCCCTCCTGATGCCTCATGCGACTCCATCCTACTGTTGCTCCTCCTCTTCCTCCTCCTCCTCCTCCTCCTCCTCTTCCTCATCCTCCTCCTCCTCCCTCCTCCTCCTCCTCCTCCTCCTCCTTCTCCTCCTCCTCCTCCTCCTGCTCCTCCTCCTCCTCCTCCTACGTACTGGATGCTCCTCTGAATCACTCATCCTTCCCCTCCCTCTCCTCCTTCTACTCCTTCTCCTCATCCTCCTCATCATCATCTTCCCTCACTCCCTCTCACAGAGGGGGAGTGAGAGGGTAGTAGGAGGAATAGGAGAAGGAGGAGGAGGATGAGGAGGAGGAGGAGGAGGTGGAGGTGGAGGAGGAGGAGGAAGAGAGGAAGAGGGAGGGGACGGATGAGGGAGTGGGAGGAGTGAGAGCTAAATGGAGAAAGAGGAGGACGAGGGGGAGGAGGAGAAGGAGGAGGAGGAGGAAGAGGAAGAGGAAGAGGAGGGGAACCGAGGGGGAGGTAGGAGGAGGAGGAGGAGGAGGAGGTGGAGGAGGAAGGAGGAGGAGGAGGAGGGAGAGGAGGAGGAGGAGGAGGAGGAGGAGGAAAGATGGAGGAGGGAGGAGGAGTGAGGTGCAGGTGGAGAAGGTAGGAGGGGTGAGGAGGTGGGAGGAGGAAGGGGAGGAGGAGGAGGAGAGGTGGAGGAGGAGGAGGAAAAAAGAGGAGAGAGGGGGAGGAGGGCTGTGTGAGGTAGGGGAGGGGGGAGGAGGGGAGGAGGAGGACAGGAGGGGGAGGAGGAAAAGGAGAAGGAAGTAGTATGTAGGAGGAGGAGGAGGAAGTTGGAGGAGGAGGAGGAGGAGGGGAGGTGGAGGAGGAGGGGGAGGGGAGGAGGGGGGAGGAGGGGTGAGGAGGAGGAGAGGAGGAGGAGGAGGAGAAGGAGGAGGAAGAGGAGGAGAAGGAAGGAAGGAAGGAAGGAAGGAAGGAAGGAAGGAAGGAAGGAAGGAAGGAAAGAAGGAAGGAAGAAAAAAAGGAAGGAGGGCAGGAACGCAGCAAGGACGGAAGGAAGGAAGGAAGGAAGGAAGGAAGGAAGGAAGGAAAGAGGAGGAGAAGGAGGAGGACGAGGAGGAGGACGAAGGAGGAGGAAGTGTGGGTGGGGGAGCGGGGGGGCGCAGCCGCAGCGCAGGAGGGCCCTGGGCGGGGCGGCGGCGGCGCCGCCTCGAGCGCGAACTGCGGGGCCGTCAGGATCTCCATCGCCCCCCCCCCCCCGCGGCCTTAGCCGGACGCGGGAAGGCGCCCCAGTGGCGGGGTGCGCGGGGGAAGGAGGGGGAGGAGGAGGAGGAGGAGAGGGAAGAGCAAGAGTCTAAGAAGAAGAGGAGGGGAAGGAAGAAGAGGAGGACAGCAGGGAGCAGGACAGGGAGGAGGAGGAGGAGGAGGAGGAGGAGGAGGAGGAGGAGGAGGACCATTGCAAACCCAAGAGTCATCAATGAAGTTGGAATCTACCGTCTCTCCAAGCTCCCTTCGAGGCCACTACAAGGATTCCTTTTCCACAGGAGCAAGTGCCTCATTGGGAGACAATGGTTTGAATATCCTGAAGGTTACCAAATAACCGTTATCGGAACTCGAGCGCCACGAATCAACCTGACTGTTGCGTGTTGACGGTCATGAATTGTGCCAGAATTAGCATAAGTGTTGCGCGCTGGCAATCCTGAATCGTTCCGCCAGTTCCGGTACGTTAACCATAGGAACTCATGACAATCTTGCGAATGTGTAAGACGAATGTGCGCGGCGCTCAAGCGAGGACCATATTTTGAGAAGGAGCTGCCATCAATATGTGAAATGTCTGCATTAAGTGAACACGAATGTGCGCGGTGCGAGAATCACACGTTGAAAGCGGCTCGCCCTCAATTCATGAAACTGTTGCACGTATTTAAGATGCGTGTGCGCGGCGCTCAGGCGAGAGCAACAGTTTGGAAGCGGGCCGCCCTCTAGATGTGAAACTGAGGTCAATGTTTAAGCTGCAGGATCACACATTACAAATGGTACGTAAGGATGTCTCAAGCGAAACGCTGGGCCCGCCCTCCCGACTGGCCTTGGGGTGCGACAGGGACGAGTTAGAAGGAGGAGGAGGAGGATTGGAATGGAATGGAATGGAATGCCCTCGAAAGGGGGAGTGCACAGCACTAAAGCCGCGCGCCTCCGCGGCCGGCGGGCGCCCGCGCGCGGGCGCGCGGCCGGCCGCGGGGCGCTCACGGCGCGGGTGGCGCACGGCGCCAGCGGGCCCCCCGCAAGCGGGCAGCATGGGAATAGCCGGCCAGCTCCCCCCCCCACGTTCTGTCGGCCGGAAACGGCCCAGCCGGAAACACCCGGCAGCCGACAGAACGGGGGGGGGCCAGTCCAAGCCAAACCCACGCCACCCACCCCAGAGGCCCGGCCCGCCACACGACGACGACGACGACGACGACGACGACGACGAGGACGACGACGGCGACGCGGAGACGACGACGGCGACGACGGAAACGACGACGACGACGACGACAAACGACGGACACGACGGGGGGACGGACCGCCAGTCCCGCCCCAAGGCGGCGAGCGCAGGGGGGGAACCCTGCGCCGCCCTGGGGGAGGCCCCGGGACCTGGCAGCCCCCCCTGGAAGGGGACCCCGCTTATGGGGGCCGTCCCAGGGGAGCGGGGGCTTTTCGCCCCTCGGGCCCGGCGCTCCCCGCCTGCGCCAGGAGGACCCTGGGGTCCCGACCCCTCCCCTACGGGAGGGGCCCTCTCGGGGCAGAAGGAGGAGGAGGAGGAGGAGGAGGAGGAGGAGGAGGAGGAGGAGGAGGAGGAGGAGGAGGGAGGAGGGGGAGGGAGGAAGAAGGAACACAGGGAGGACGGCGGAGGAGGAGGAGGTAGGGAAGAGGAGGAGGGTAGGACGAGGAGGAGAAGGAGGGAGGTGGAGGAGGAAGAAGAGGTGGAGGAGGAGGAGGAGGAGGAAGAGGAGGCGGAAGAGAAAGAAGAGGAGGAGGCAGAGAGAAGGGAGGGAGCAGGGGGAGTCCTGGAGGGTAGGAAGGAGAGAAGAGGGGGGGCGAGTGCGAGAGGGGGGGCGGGAGCGCGGGAGGAGGGAGGGGGGGGGAGAGGGCGCGGAGGCGGATGGGGAGGGGCCCCGCGCGCCTCGGCGGCCCCTGTCGGTGGCGCAGGCGGCGGGAACAGAGGGGCCGCGCGCCGCGCGGGGAGGGGGGACCGAGGGGGGGAGCACCGCCAGGAACACTGCCTCAACGCGTCGCGGCGGCGGTAAGTACAGAAAACCAGCAGCCCCTCTCAGGATGACTCGAATAATACGAATAGCTTCGATGCGTCCTACCCCCTGCGAGCGGGCTGCGCGTTGCTCAGCTCCGCGGGGCGGGAGGCGGGGAACGCAAGCTCGGGATGCTGACGCCGGGGGGGGCCGTTGGCGCGGGTAGCGTGTGGCGCTCGGGCCGAAGCGTGGTGGGCCAGAAGTGGCGGCGCGACACGCCTCGGCAACCGCTCCTGACCGTAAGCGGGGGGAAAATGGACGGGGGGGGGGGAGACGTGCTCCTTTCCACCACCGACGACCTCGCAGGGCCACGGAGGGGGGGCGGTGTGCATCGGTAACAGACCACTGCCTCCGCGAAATGCTCAGGGATCGAGTCCCGAAACGGTGGGCATGGATAAACCCCCGCCTCGGACTCCCCGCTTCCTCCAATCGAAGCGGAGGACGACGCGACACGAGTACGAGCAGGGAGAGCCGTGTGACGTGTTTGCCTGCTCGTGGGCGCCTCCTGGGCCACAACGGGGCCTCCGAGCGCCTTCGAGGGCCTGCGGGGAGAGACCTCGAGAGGGGGAGGGTGCGGGGAGGAAGGATGCGGAGGAAGGGCACGGGAGGGAGAGGAGGAGGGAGGGAGGAAGGGGAGGGGTGGTCAGGATGAGGGAGGCGAGCCTGCGAGGGACGCGCCGTCATCTGCCAGTCATGCCCCCCACGAGCCTGCTGCCCTGCCGGTGACAGGGTTCCCCTCTGCTCCCGGGGCGCTCTCCCCCCAGGCCGCTCCGATCGACTGCTTGTTCGTAGCGCCACCAAAGTCGAGTGTGGCGGCCACTACACCCTGGGACTTGTAGCGTCTGGCGGTCAACTTGTGCACGCTTCGCGTACCCCCCACTAATCCATCCGTGGCAGCTTCTCTACCGCTGGCATTCGCCCAGTGGTCTTTGCATGGTAATCATCTGGCATTGCGGCCCATTGCCTCATTCCGCCCTCTGGACTTTTCCTTGCGGGCCGCAGATTAAAAAAGTATCCCCAATAATCCCCAGTTGCGTTGCACCACGGCTCACGACAGCTCAGCCTTCTGGCTAGCTCAAGTCGTCAGGGCGTTTGGAGCCTGGCGCCCCACTGGCGGCTCACTCCAATGGCCTCCCACTTGCCCCCACTCAGCATGACGGACTTGACCATCCTGGTTCGCGTCGCTACTGCGTGGGTCGTGCCATGGCAAGCACCGAATTCCGTGACACTTTGTCCTGTGCACGTGCTCGAGCTCTCAGGATGCCGTCCCCCGTTAGCTCCCCCTTTCAGCTTCGCGGCTGCTGTGTGAGTGGGCCGGCCGGCCTGTGCCTGTTGTAGCTAATTAGCCTAGTTCGCGTCCCGGACTTTGCTCTTGCCGCCTGACCTTCGTCTCGCAGCCGCGACCAAAAAGTATCCCCACCAATCAACTTCCCAGCAATTGCAGCCCCCCCCACTCGCCGGCCTGCCCGCCGAGGTGCTGCGTGAGGCTCCAGCCCACCGCTTTAGGTTAATTCGTCTTTGCGCGGCCCGCTCTGACTGGACTCGCCGCTGGCGCTCTCGCCTGCGGCCGTTGACTAAAAAAGTATCCCCACCAGTTCCTGCTCGTTCTTGTTCTTTTCTGTTCGCTTCGTCTTCCTCGCGCTAATTTAGGCCGTTGCTAGTTTGCAATTCCCTGGACGCCGCCCGACCTTTCTTCGTCGCGGCCGCGATCAGAAGTATCCCCACCAGCCAACTCAGAAACCCTGCCCTTCAGAGCTGACGGGAAAAGGGACGAAGAGACACATCTAGGGAAACAAAGCGAGCCAGGGGGGGGCCTTGGAAGGCCCCTTCGGGCCAACCCTGGGTGCCGCGTGGGGGCAGGAGGAGGAGGAGGACGAGGAGGACGAGGAGGACGAGGACGCGGACGAGGACGAGGAGGACGAGGACTAGGATAAGGACGACGCGGACGAGGACTCATAGAACCATCTAGAGGTATACTTGCGACTGCTGCTGCTGCTGCTGCTGGTGGTGCTCTCTGGGAGTTTGGGGGGCCCTCTTGGAACCCTCTTGGTAACCCTGGAATGCTTTTTGGGGATCATTGGAGGCCATCGATGACAGGATGGGGGGTCCACAACTCAGCTCCCCCCTCAGGAGCCGGCAAACCGTTTCCTGGGGCTCTCTTGGAGCGCTCTTGGGCGCTCTTGGAGCGGTCTTGGGGCCGTTTGGAGCATCTTGGGAGCCGTCTTGAGCTTGCTTGGGCAATCTGAGCCATCTTGGAGGTCATCGTGGGCTCTCTGAGGGCTGCTTGGGGCGCTCGTTGGGCCCTCTTGGGAGCCTCTTGGGGGCCCTGGAGGGCCTCTTGGGGCCATCTTGGGAGGTTAGTTCTCGATGTCGCCCCCCCTGGAGCCCTCAACATCGCATCTTGGAGCCATCGTCGCGTTCTTTTGGGGTGTCTGTGGGCCGTCTTGGGGCCCTCTTGGGGCCCTCTTGGGGCTCTCTTGGGGCTCTCTCGGGAGCTCTGGAGCGCCTCTTGGGGCCATCCCTCGCCGTGCCTCCCCCCTCCCCGAGCCCCTTTACCGTGCATCCCCCCTCGCCGTGCCTCCCCGCTCCTCGAGCCACTCCCCCCCTTCTCTCCGTGATTCCCCGCTCTTAGCTTCCCCTCTCTCTCTCTCTCTCTCTTTCTCTCTCTCTCTCTCTCTC